TCCATGCACCGAGGAGCACGTATGTTTAAACCCGATTTCTGCATTTTTCAAAAGGGGGTTGTCCCTGAGGCCAGTCTGTGGAATTTGAGAGGTCTGACCTCAGGTGATCCAGTCTCCTCTCGGTACTCAGTTTCCGACGCCACAGCCTGCTGACTGTACAACCCTATCCCCGGGCAAGGCCCTTATCTGTTTCACATTTGCATACTGCAATAGCAACGACATTTACTCTGTACCGTGCGCACGCGTATTAGACAGGTTTCTATTGCAATCAAGCCTCAAAACGCCAAACATCTCGGGGGATTACATCAGCATTTACTTTCCTCCAGGGTCTGCAGGGAGACTGGGGTGCAACTGGTCCGGGTGCGCTCGCCTGCGCTTGGCGGACCAGAGGTCGGGTTCCGGTCAGCTCCTCAGGTCTCTGCTACGCGAGGTCTGCGCTCCAGCTCTCCTCCCCTCCCTCTCCGGCTTCCTACCGCGTCTTCTTCCTTCGACGTCTCAGAGGATAATCTTGAGGCTTCTCCGCCCCCTGGTGGCAGCTGCACAACACTGCATGTCGGTACCTCGGAAACGGTGTCCACCTCTCACCTCCACCCTGGGGTTCGGCCTCAGCGCCCCCACACTCTAACGCTGCGTCCCGCCTGGTTCCCACATCTTTGTTTAATGCAATCTCTCTCTCTCTCTCTCTCATCTCTCTCTCTCTCTCTCTCTCTCTCTCTCTCTCACTGTAACCCAAAGTAAGAAATACGTTTTATATTGTAACGCAAGACACGCGTTCAAATGCATATATACTGTTTACTTTTATGGTTCCATTCTGTTCTATTTGATTAAAAAAATGTTGGTCACTACGCAATATATTGATTTCATAACCCATTAATGGCCTAGGACCTGCAGGTGGAGAAATGTTGTTCTATGAGTATTGTCTTATGGCATAAACATTATGTCCCAAGCCCTGTGGGGCTCTGCTTTTGTTATCCAAAAGACATGATTTCGAGACTCAAAAATTTACTTTCAAATTATAGTTTTTATATAGATTTTAAAAATAATTTTGAAAGCTAAAAATTCACTTATTTCTCTTCATATTAACTCTGTAAGAACCTTTTCTTTTGAGCATGAGGCAGAGCTGAGAGTTTTCTGATGAAAACGATAAATACATGGGCTGATGTTTCTTACCCACCTCTTTCTTTCTTTCTCTCTCTGTATCTCACTACAAACCACACATCTATGTCAAATCATTGTACAGGTGTATATTAGTTTCCTAGGACGTCACAGAGTGCCCCAAACTGGGTGGCTTAAACAACAGAAAACCATCAGCTCAGTTCTGGAGGCTGGAAGTCCGAGATCAAGGTCTCGGCCAGGCCCGGTAGGTTCCTTCAGAGGGCGGCAAGGGAGGGACTGGTCCAGCCTCTGCCCTTGTTGCGGGAAGGGACACCCGACGGAGGAATTCGGACGCTCAGACCACTTTGTTAGAGGAAGGAGAATTTATTAGGCCGGCGGAGCGCGTGGGGTTAACAACTCCATGCACGAGCTCAGTCTGGTTTAATTTATTACAATTTATATATCTTTACAGTGTCCATGCAAGGGGCGCGTGATTCCTTTGTCTGAGGTTTTACACGTGCCTCCTTTCTCAGGATGGGGAGGGGGAGCTTGGGGTGGGGGGCTGCAAAGGGGGAAGAATTTTCGAACCACTGGTCTTACAGATCGTTTGTTTTGCGGAACCCGCGACCTTGGCGTTTTCAAGCCCATTATAGGATTCTTGAATAGAGAGACGGGACTCCTCCTAGGCTATAAGCAGGGAGCAGCACTTACTGATGCCGGCAGCCGCTCAGCGGATTCCTATCCAAAGGCTGAGCTCTAATTGTAACGTAACAAGCAATTTTGCACAGCCTTGTTATTCCTACACAGCTACAGAGAT